GTAGCCCAAAAATTTCTGATTAAAATGAGACGTCTCTCAGCTCTACATGATCTTTCTTTGCAAAGTTATAGAATTTACAAGAAATGCCCTAATTGATTTCCTCTTATCTCTGTAGCTTTGAGCTGACAATAAACATTTAGGGCTTTTCTTGAAAATTCTATAACTTTGCAAAGAAAGATCATGTAGAGCTGGGAGACGTCTCATTTTAATCAGAAATTTTTGGGCCACAGTCAGGCCTTATTAGGCAACGTTTTGGCTATCCTTTTTAGAGTTTCTAGAAAGCCGGATTTTCAAGAGCCATGGCGATACGTCTTTTTAGATTTTTTACTATCTCGATAAAGGCTATCGACTGATGTGTGTTTGAAAGAAATCGGGGTTGTACAGCTGGGAATGTTCCTTCATCACTAAAGTGAGTTTCTGAATGTCCGAATCAGCTGAAACTTTCACCAAATGTTCTTCTACATATAACGCATCTATGTTGTTAGCATAGCAGAAATTCTTTTAACAAAAGTTATAGGATTTACAAAAAATCTGGTTTTTCTCAGCTTTTCACCAGTTTTTTTCTTCCCGGAAGCATATTTTCTCAACTGTAATGACAGATTCGAAATCAGCGCACAAAACTGCGCCCAAGGATATGTAATTTGTATTTTTGGAATCTTAGAAGTTTTCGAAGAAAAATAAAAGTTTCGGAATCCCAGACCAGACGTATTACCGCGGCAAATTTTGACTAGGCGTTTTGATATTTAATTTAGGAGTCGTGGAAAAGGCTACAAATACTGTTTGTATAAGCTTTTAGATATGCTTTTTCAATGGTGTCGTCTACAAAGTTCAAATGCATTTTTGTGTAAGTTTTCTGGAAATCTGAGTCTCTAGAAAACCCAAAAAATACATTCTTCAACTCTGTAGACGACATCATTGAAAAGAGCACATCCAAGAGCCTATAAAACAGTATTTGTAGGCTTTCGCACTGCTTCTAAATGATTATACCTTCTTTCACAGATAGAGATCTCTAATTATTCATACATCATTCGATTCACGTTAGAAAACTCTACAATATGTGCTTATAGGAAACTTAACGAAGCTTCGCAGCGGTTTTTGTGCATTACATAGTTCGCCGCTAAGACCTACAGCGGGCCAGAAACTTATTCGCCATCTTTATTTTTCATTTTACTCGACAACCGTAATAGCTGGACCTGATGTGCTGTATACAAAGGCTCTATCAGAACGCCAGAAACCAGGGCCTCTGGCACACCAGGATCTCAGAAAACCAAATCGTCGAGTTCAATCTAGAAATTCTTTGCCAATATCTTCATTATGTACCAAAATAATTTGAATGCGTACAATTACAAAAGTAATCATTATTCAAAGATGAACTAAGTTTAAGGTATTTCGCATAATCATTTTGTTTATCAACAGGTGCATACCATTCAAACAAATGTTGTTCAGTAATATTTAACAATTTTAATTGATAAAACGTAATATTTCTACCGTAACATCGTGGTAATTCATTTTTCGAACGAACGATACAATATGGTATTAATGGAAATGCATATGTTGGAAAAGACGGTTGTTTTCTATGGTATATATCGGCATAAGAGTATAGACAATCGTAATTGTCATCGGCATGGTATAAACAGAGGCAACATTAAAAGTGACTTTTCTCCAGTTTGTAACAACTAAGACCTCCGCAAAATATCTTACATTAAAGAGCAGTCTCAGCGAATACTTTCCAAGAAAAAACAGCTGGGTTTGTTTTAGTTTAGATGAAACCCATAAATCTTCGTAAATGTTTGTATCAGCACTAAATATTTCAAATATGCTGGGAATCTCATATGAGGCTTATAAGTCGAGTGTTTTAGTGTGTTCCTCGACAATAGGAAAATTGTATAGTGCTAGGTAATTCAGGGTCCTCTTTCTAATGGTGAAATTAAAAAGAGCACTAATTGAGACAATTTCACTTTTAAAATTTGTCAACGCAAACAGTGCAATGGCAGGGCAATTCACCCATATTCATCAAAAAAGAATGATAAACTTGGTCACTTTGTGACTAAAAGTGCTAATAACAACTCATTAAATGTGTTTTTCAACATTACATTCTCTGTTCACCTCAAAAAATAATGCGACTTCTAAGAGGACACATATGTCGGATCTCAAAAAGCCGCATTTTAGTGACTCCTTCGAAGACACATGATGCGACTTTACTTGGTAGTCACTTTATAGCGTCTTTGCTCTAGTCGCATTAAAGACACGTAAGTCGGATGTTCCCATTTAGTCGTATTTTAGCGACTCTTTTTAAGTCGCTTTGATGTATCTTCTGGAGAAGACATATTAAAAAGATTTTCGTCGGAATGATGTGACTACTAAGCGTCTTTCTCGATCACACGTCTTCTATACGACTCCAGTGTGACTTATATATGCCTACCAGTAGACACATTGCAGATATATAGAAGACACCTACTATTTTGAAGTCGCAATCTAGTCACATACAAGACATTTTTTCTCGGCAGACACATCGCTGAAGTCGCATCTTTTTTAGTGTTCCGCTCAATCAAGAAATTCGTTTCTTTGATCATTGACTATCAGATGATGACCCAAGCAAGATTCTTCCAAAGTAGGATGCTTCTTTAGAGCAAACATCTTCATGAATTTTGGCAAAATTCAGACATCCTAAAGTTGTTGCGTTGCAGAGATATTCAGTTTTTACGAAAAGTCCCAAAAAACTAATATTCCGTTGTTTTGAAAAGTTGTCAACTTAAAATACGTGTAACTTCGTAATGACATATGACTTAGAATAATCAACTTTATCATGGATACTACATAATATTACATAGTGACTAATAGCCTTTGTATTTATAGATAATATCAATTATTTACTTAACTATGCGTCTTTGTCAAGAAATATTAAATATGAAATGAAAACGACATGTTCGAAAAAAATAACTTTTCACGTCGTTCTCCCCAATGGTCGCTGGAGTCAACAAACTACCCTGCGCAAGTGACAGTATGTCTGGTCGATATGTCCATACCAATGGCATATTGTGAAGACTAATACTCCATTTGTGTGGTCACTTTATCAGTAGCTCTTCTGGAATCGCTACCAGTAAAGAGTTAAATTTTCGAAGAGTTCATCGAATTATGAAACGCCTTTTCAAATTGAATAACATTATTTCTTATTCTTGTACTTTATCTCAAGTAGAATTTTCCATAAAAAAGACATTCATTTCATTTATTTTTGAGAGGATTTTAAGCTCATGAAAAACAGATGCAAACACAAAATACGTTAATACAAATACTGTCAGATTGATCACCAAAAAGAAATAAAAAAAGAGAGAATGACATACAAAATATAGAAGAGTTTGAGTAAAACCCACTGACAGAGGGATAATCGTATAAGTTCAATACACAAAATATTCGAAAACTTTTACATGTTCTATCAGCGGTTTTTTAAATAGAATAACATTTTCAACATGTTCAACAATCGGTAAAAGGATTTCTAGTGTTTCCAGGTGGGACAAGGAAGAAGAATCTGAGTGTGATTTGAATCACTTAATTCGGATCCATCTCTCATGATCTAGACACAGCGACGAAAACCACGGAAATGAGAAGATTCATGTCCGAGAGTACATTCAACTTATAAAGAATCTGATGAAAACAAGAGCCCGAAAAAGCTTTTCCCGTCTGGCAAAAGCAACAAAAGCATTCAACATGCTACACGGTGTGATCTGGCGTAGAAAAACGGTTTTAGTTGACTCCAAGTTACGAATATTTAAGGCATGTGTGCNCCAGTTCTCATTTATGGGAGTGAAGTCTGGTCCACAACTGTCGTCCAAGAAAGTCGTATCAAGACATTCTATATGAAGTGCCTGAGAACAATCTTAGGTCTAAACCTTCGAGACCGTGTTCCAAACGAGAAAATCTTGGATCTCTCAGGACAACCATCGATCGGCCTACTTCTACGACGAAATCGTCTACGTTCGTTTGGACATGTAAATAGAATGGCCAACGTGCAAAATGAGCCTAGTCTGCTCAAGAAAGTCATGTTTTCGTATTTCCCCAATGCCAAACGACCACCAAATGCACGAAGTGGTGGTACACGAAAACGATGGGAAAAGAAGATCATGGAAGATCTTGAGAAGTTTGGTATTAAGAACTGGAGGCGCGACACACTCAACAGAGACTTGTGGAGAGTTCTGATCAATGCACAAGTTCAATCTAAACCTCATTCTAAGTTATCATCGGTAGCATGTAGATCAAGTATGATATTTCTTGTTTTAGCAACTGCACATTAGATGAATAGGTTCTAATGTTACTATTATCATTTGGCGAACTACCATATAATTAAGTTTATCCTTAATAGTATTAATATTATCACTAGTCTTTATTTATTATAGAATGTAGTTTTCGGATTTTTTCGATCAATTTTATCCTGAGCTATAGCCTCAATCGTTTTCAAGTTAATATCTATCTGAATGTTCCATGATATTATTCTCGAATAAGTGCTGATCTAATTGAATCAGATATTGATCTGCATAATTAGGATACCAATCATCTCGAGCTATTATTCGTTCTGCTTCCGTAAAAGCACTAGTTTTATCAGGAAAATGGCCTTTAGCATAATCTATAGCGTCTTGCGCTTCTTGATAAGCCTTATTTTCAATAAATGCAGCTATCACCATTATAAAAGAATTAAAAATATTATCTAATGCTTTCGTCTGAGCAGCTTCATTAAATTTTGAAACTGCTTTTTCATACTTATCAAGTGCTGCTTCTATTTCAGCAGCCGCTTCGTTTAATTTCCCTTCCCGGTATAACCTTAATCCTTCTTCATTTCTTTTGAATGCTTCAGCTAACTCCTTCCAACGGGCTGCAATCTTTTCACCCGCTCGCTCGCCTGTCTGTTTTTCGGCTACCTGCTCCCAGCGCGTGGCAATCATTGTGGCGCGCTCCCCGGATGCCTCTTTCTCCGCTGCTCTTGTCTTAGCTTCAAGTTTCTCCGCTGCTCATTTCTTAGCTGCAAATTTCTCTGCTTTAATCTGCACAACATTCTTATAACTTGAAAATTTAGCATAGAGCTCACTGACATCTGATAAGTTGTAAGCTTTCTGGAATTTAGCCTGTGTCTCCGAAAATTTACCATTATTCAGCAAATTCTGCCCCTCAACGGCAATAGTTGTTGCATCTCTACTATTTTTGAAGTTTAACTCATCACTATAGCCATTGGCACATGTACGATAAGCTGCATTAAATAATTTTTCTGCTTGTTCGAATTCTCCCAGACTACAAAATTCTAATGCTTTTTTATTTGCAGCTACAGCGACTTGATTTTCGCTGTCACCTAAATATTCGTTTCCATAGAAATAGCGATAACTTTCTGTATAATGAGTCATTAATTCAGTAAGCCCCAAAGAAATAACACCAGCGAAAATTCTAGTTGTAGTATTTGTTTGAGTCATAATTGTATATTTCGTTACGGCACCAGGCAATAATTCTGTTTTTGTGGCTTCGTCCTTAACGCTGAGTAACATGGGGATCATTTCTCTTGTTTCTAAAAAAAGAATTCGTCAATTAAAACTCTATACTTTAGCTCTTTAAAATTATCTATTAATGTCTTTTGCAAATATCTTCATGCAATACTCGAACGTTTGGGCCACAATTTTTTTTAATTTTCTAAACGAGCATACCAGCTAAACAACTCATTCTTAAATAATTTCTTCTTCTTTGTCTTCCCGATAAATTCTGAAAGTTTGGTAGAGTTTGACTAAGTCTTTGTGATGATATGACAAAACAAAGGGCGTCACGGCATTACAAAAAACAACTTATTTTGGTGACCATCGTTCAGAAATCCATTTTTTCGGGATATTCATGCATAAAGAACATCAAATTTGTTTCTCGAAGTAAACTGCTCTTTTTCGATAATCATAACAAAACTTCTAGACAAGTATTTTAAAAGCTTAACTAGAAACAACATGTGTAAACAATTAATATTGTGCATATTTTATCAACGAACAAAAGCCATCTGACAATAAAAGAACAATCAGAAAATAGCTAAGCCAACTTTTTATTAAATTGTTCGAAAAATGTAACGCCATCACGACATACATTTAATGATTTATTACCATCTTATTATAAAGAGTAACGACAACACCGTGACGGAGACTATTTTTTACCTAACCCAACATCCCGTAAAGATCGAACAAAGGACGGGGGACGATAAGACCACAAATCCGCCCACTACCAAATCC